ACACCATGATCAGGGATGGGGCCTGCTGCCCAACTGCCCATGGCCCCACCCCCCAGCCGGCTGCACCCCCCTCCGCCCCCAATCGGGGCAGGCCAGCTGGACCCCACCTGTGCACAAATTCGTGCACCAGGCCTCTAGTGTTTATATATTCATGTTTATATACTTATTACTTTTTTGACATTTATTTCCAACTTGAGGCCCGATGTACAAATTCGTGCACCAGTGGGGTCCTTCAGCCTGGCCTGCGGGATTGGGCTGAAACTGGCTCTCCGACATCCCTCAAGGGATCCCAGATTGTGAGAGGGCGCAGGCCAGGCCGAGGGACCCCACCGGTGCATGATCGGGGCCAGAGAAGGACGCGGGAGGTTGGCCAGCTGGGGAGGGACCACTGGAGGGCTCCAGGGTGTGTCCAGCCTATCTCGCTCAGTCCGGATCACCCAGACCCCAGCAGCAAGCTAACCTACCAGTCTGAGCATCTGCCCCTGGAAGTCAGTGCACGTCATAGCGAGCGGTTGAACGGCCTTAGCATATCATTAGCATATTACACTTTGATTGGTTGAATGGCCAACTGGATAACCGGACACTTAGCATATTAGGCTTTTATTATATAGGATTGTTTTTAAACCACCTTGGCTTAAGTTATTTCATTCATTTTTTAAACAAGGCAAAAAATACTCTAATTCCATGACTATAAAAACATTATCTTAATAAATTGTTTAAATCTTTCCTGGTTTTCAATACTTTTAAATGCTTCCTGATTCATCATTCAGATACTTACAAATGCTTACTCTGAAAAATTCCTTCAACTGTACCTAAGGCTCCCTAGATTTTTGTTGGAGTCTTAGAATGAGACCATTAGAAACCTAAATAATCATTCAAACACAAGAATGTAAATAGGAAGTGTTATAAAAATCCGAACATGAAAAAAATAAAATAAAATCTGAACATGATCAGCCTGGCTACATGGCTCAGTGGTTGAGCGTCAACCTACAAACCAGGAGGTCACAGTTCAATTCCTGTCAGGGCATATGCCAGGGTTGTAAGCTCGATCCCCGGGGTGGGGCATACAGGAGGTAGCTAATCAATGATTCTCTCTCATCATTGATGTTTCTCTCTCCCTATCTCTTCCTCTCTGAAATCAATAAAAATATATATTTTTAAAAATCTGAACATGATCAGAGTAGAAATTCCATGTTTATGTATTCCTTGATTACTGGGTGTAGTACATATGCACTAGGTTTTCTCCTAGTCCAGGAGTCAGCAAACTACAGCCCACTGATGCACTATATGTGTTGTAAATAAAGTCTTGCTGGAACATAGCCAGGCCCATTCCCTTATGTATTATCTATAGCTGCCTTCACACCACAATAGTTGAGGTAAATAGTTGCAACAGAAGTCATACATAACCCACAAAGCCTAAAATATTTACTAACTAGCCCTTCATAGAAAAAGTTTATCAACCACTGTCCAATGTGGAGATTTCCCAAATGAGCTTCCATATGCAGTTCCTAGGGGGCCTATGGGGAATTCTGAGTAGGATGACTCTTTGTTGTATTGGGTGTCCAGCACATTGTAAAATGTTTAACATGCCCCCTCGGAGCTACAATGCTAATACCACTCCCAGGCCTCATGTTAATCAAAATTCCCCCTACATTTCCAAAAACTCTTGGAGAGAGAAGTACTATCTCTAGTTGAGAACTACTGGGGAAGTAAATTAGCTCAGAGTAAAGAAGGAGAAAATATAGTTCATAAATTCTAAATGCTACCAACAGATGAGAAATACAGTTAGATTTTGAGAACAAACTGAAAGTACATTCTTCTTCCACTTTGACACTTGGCAAAAGATAAACTAATTTCTTCTTAATAAAGTCAGGCTTTATAATTTAATGACTATATCAAGACACATGGTGTTTAATCAAAGGTTAAAAGTAAATTTATAAGGCAATCTTACCGATCTGTTCCATCCAGATTTGATTTGTGAATGAAATTAAGTTTTGCATCTGCCCAATAAAGCTTTCGTTCTTCATAATCCAAAGTCAATCCATTTGGCCAGTAAATTTCAGTGTTTATTATAACGAAGCGACTTGAACCATCCATTCCAGCACGCTCTATCTTTGGTACTTCTCCCCAGTCTGTCCAGTATATGAATCTAAAAATCACATAAACAATAAACCCATGACATAAGCAGGTTCACAGCAAAGTATTTCATAATTATAACTATTAGATAAAGAAAACTCAGGAACACTCAAATTAAAACACCAGAAATTATCAAAATTTTAATAATCTACCTGGTAATAACTGATTGAGGCAAGCATAATAAAAGATGCAAAAAACATCTGATCAAAGTTTACTGGGAAAAATAATGTTTACACTATCTTAATATATCTCCCCACATTACTTATTAATGACAAAGGGGAAACGGGTAACTTTAGAGAAAATAAGCTTGGTGGGCACCACCTTAACCCTGCCCCAAAATGCATAGCCTAAACAAATTTATGAAAATAACAGAGAAACAAATTGAGGAACATTCTGAAAAACAATATCAAGTCATGAAAGTCAAAGAAAGGCTGAGGAACCATTCAAGGATATTAAAGGAAAATAAAGAAACATGGTAACTACATTATTAAGTGCATGATTCTAATCGGTTGGGGAAATGCTATAAAGACATTATTGGGAAACCTAAAAAATCTGATGGACTGTCAAATTACATAATAGTAATGTACTAAAGTTAATTTCATATATATGATCACTGTACTATGGTTAGAGTATACAAAATTTCATTATGCTATTTTTGCTTCTACAGATGTGAATATTTTTCAAAAAACATGGAACCTGGCCCATGTGGCTCAGTGGTAGAGTGTCTCACTGAAGGGTCACAGGTTTGATTCCTGGTCAAGGGCATGTACGTAGGTTGCAGATTCGTTTCCCAGCCCCAGTTGGGGTGCCTGAAGAAGGCAATCAATCGACGTGTCTCTCTCACATTGATGTTTCACTCTCTCTCTCTCCCTCCTTCCCTTCTCTTTCAAAATTCAATGGAAAAAATATCCTTGGGTGAGAATTCACAAAGAAAAAAAAAAGAAAATCTTAATAGTCTCATTCCAGAGGGGGAAAACATTTGCCCTTGATTTAAAGGCAAAACTCTTAATATGTTATATTTCAATCAAAATCATTTTTTAAAAGTTAAATGAGGTATTATGAGCTAGACATGAGGTACTCAATTAATGTGTTTAAATGCAACTGAAATTCAGGTATAACTTTTACTCAAAAAATAGGTGGAGCCCAGCTGGCATGACTCAGTAGTGAGCATCAACCTATAAACCAGGAGGTCACGGTTTGATTCCCGGTCAGGGCACATGCCCAGGTTGCAGGCTTGATCCCCAGTGTGGCAGATCAATAGAAGTGGCAGATCAATGATTCTCTCTCATCATTGATGTTTCTATCTCTCCCTCTCTGAAATCAATAAAAATATATATTTTTAAAAATAGGTGGAACTCTAATACTGGAATGATTCTACTTATGCATACTGGTATTTCATATAAAGTGCTTACTCAAATGACAGGAAGAGAATATCAGGTGGGGAATAAACATACTTTCTAACTACAAGGTATTATGCTAACGGTTTTGCACATTACCTCACTTAGGCCTTATAGCAACATTATAAAATACTAGAGACCCGGTGCATGAAATTCGTACACGGGGGGGGGGGGGGGTGCCTCAGCCTGGCCTGCACTCTCTCACAGTCTGGGATCCCTCTAAGCCAGCAGTGAGACATCCCTCTCGCAGTCCAGGACCCCTTGCTCCTTACCGCCTGCCTGCTTGCTGCTCCTTACCACTCGGCTCGCTGCTCCTTAGCACTGCTGCAGTGGCAGGAGAGGCTCCCGTCACCACCGCTGTGCTCGCCAGCAGTGAACCCAGCTTCTGGCTGAGCAGCGCTCCGCCTGTGGGAGTGCACTGACCACCAGAGGACAGCTCCTGTGTTCAGCATCTGCCCCCTGGTGGTCAGTGCGTGTCATAGCTACCAGTCGAACAGTCAAATGGTCGCTTAGGCTTTTATATATATAAACTAGAGGACCGGTGCACAAATTCGTGCATGGGTGGGGTCTGGCCGGCCCAACCTGATCGGGGTCCATCAGGACTGACTGGGCCAGGCCAGCCAGGGGGAAGGGCCACGGGCAGCTGGCTGGCCAACCCCGCCCCCTGGTTGAACTCCAGGTTGAACTCCCGGTCAAGGGGACAATTTGCATATTAGCCTGTTATTATATAGGATAGAGAGAGATGATCTCCATCACCATTATTTCAGGTTTTTAAAAACTCAGAAAAGTTACCAAACTGCTCAAAGTCACACAGCTAATAATTACAGAACAGAAATTCAAATCTGTATGCCTCAGATTCCAACACTTATGCCACAGATCAGAGCCTTGATTTGTAAAGGCAAAGTGCTCCCTAAATTGATGATGATTAATGATGATGATCCCTAAAACTAATGAAAAAATAGAAAAATATTATCAAAAAGAACTAAAGTCTCTGAGAATTGATCAAAGGACATACAACAAAACAAGAAGCATTTATTCAAGAAAATCTACCAAATCACAGTAAGTAATGTTGTATTTCAGCTAGAGGTTACTAGCATCAGCATCCATAGTACTGCTGAGTTTGTGGCACAGAAGTTTTACTCTGAGCAGATACGACAGGCCAAAAAGATTGGCAGTTAACTGGCCCTAAAAGAGGGGACTGCCTTTATTTGGAGCACTTATGGAATACTGTCAAAAACAAGAGTGCTCTCGCAGTGGCAAACAATCCCAACAATAGTGGTCAGGAAAGACAACAAAATGACACACCAGACAGAAATTTAATAGGGAGATCCTTGGTAGTCAGGAAGGCTATTGCATGCACAAGGCGGCTTCTGCTCAAGAGACACTAAAGAGATCAACCAAACACTAGTCTCTGGCTGAACGTAGGACAAACTTTAAAATTCCTAAAATTTGAAAACATTCCCCAAACCACAAACAGATTCAAAGAAAAATGATGAAACAATTATTGGTTCAAGGCATTTAGGAACAACCTCTAATCTAGTGGTTCTCAACCTTCCTAATGCCGCGACCCTTTAAGACAGTTCCTCATGTTGTGGTGACCCCCAACCATGCAATTATTTTCGTTGCTACTTCATAACTGTAATTTTGCTACTGTTATGAATCGTAATGTAAATCTCTGGTATGTGGGATGTATTTAGGTGACCCCTGTGAAAGGGTCGTTAGACCCCCAAAGGGGTCGCGACCCACAGGTTGAGAACCGCTGCTCTAATCAATCATTAACAGACCACTAAATTATAGTGCCCAGGGACAATCCCTAGAAAGCCAGGCATAAAAAAAAATTTTTTAAAGAAAAAAGGTGTAGCCCTTCAGTAAGAGAAAAGTTTCCTTCAAATATTTTCTTTGAAATTCCAAATTGTAGCCTTCCTTCTCTTCTAGAGCTTTGTTGGAGAAGCAGTTTCTAGAGTAATTTTCTTGTTTTGGTTTGGGTGGTTTTTTGTTTTTTTGCTGGCCTTTACAAAGTCTAATAAACTTTTAGGGTGGTGGGGGTGAAGTTGAGCAGTGATTTCAGAAGCAGACATTGAGAGGAAAACACATTCAAAAGAATTAGTTGAAGCAAGTCATTAAACAAATAAAAACAATAGCAAAGCAACAAGCCAGGGAGGGCTCAGAATCCACACATGCTATAAGGACATCAATTACCTGTCTGAAGGTATTTACCTCAAAACCTCCACTGCAACTGAAACAAGGACATTAGGATCTGGGTTTTGCCACTCTAGTAAACCAAGAAAAGGAGGAGGTGGAGATGGAAGAGAAGGAAGCAAAGGTGGCAACAGCAGCAACAAGGACCACAAGCAATCCATTCCAGTGAGGTTGAGGGCAATAACAATGGCTAATACAGTTTTAATTAGTTCATCCTTCTTTAATCCATAGTTTTACAAAAAAGCACTGGCAGCATTTTTAGGAGTATCTTTTGCCTCAAGTCACTGAGAGAGTACAAACAGTGGTGAATATACCACTGTGCAAGGTCAGTGAAGGAACCACTACCAACAACCAACAACAGATTTAGAGTGTTATTCCTGACTAAGACTCCAAGTCTGGTTCTTCTACCATTTAAGAAACTCTATGAGTAACCCAATGTAAGCTTTCAAAATATTTTTTCTGTTTAAATTAGAGGGATTTTTATTGCTTAAAACTATGAACACTAACACACATTTTAGATAGAAACAGCATCCCAAAGCATTACTTTAAAAGTTTTAAACTAAGTTACTTCAACTCTTTTGTGCCAGCAATGCCTCGTATCTTAGAACTCCTCCCACCCACACCATCTTACAAATGGCATGTTTCAAAAGTCTCACAGCTCTTCCCTCAATCTACTGTGACTCCTCCTCATTAAGGGCCAATGTCAACATTCATGAGAATGACTGGTAGAAAACTGTCAGGCATATCACATCCTGAACTGCCATCTAGACACTTACCTTAAAGAGTATCTTGATAAAAACTGATATAAAGGGAACAATTCGTGACAGATTTGATATTTATGTCACCATAAACATGAAACAAAGAGGTGTAAAGGAACGGAAAATCACTAAACTGCTTCATCTACACCATTGTAATTTAAAAACTCAATAATCATCAATACAAAATGACCATGAGATAATCGGTTCTTAAATACTCAGAAACTAGAATTGTACATGTAATTAACAGTTATGCTATGGTCTGAATGCTTATCCCTTCAAACTTTATATGTTAAAATCATAACACCCAAGGTGATGGTATAACCAGGTCTCGAGTGATTAGGTCATCAGAATGGAGCCCTTATAAATGGGACTAGTGCCCTTATAAAAAAGGGCCCAAGAAAGCTTCCTTGCCCTTTCTACTGTATGAGGTTACAGTGAAAAACAAACAAACAAACAAAAAACAGCTATCTAGGAAGCAGGCCCTCACCAAACAACAAATCTGCCAATGCCCTGATCTTGGACTTTGCAACCTCCATAATTGTGAGAAATAAATGTCTATTGTTTATAAGCCACCAGTTATATTTTTTATAGAAATCCAAACAGACAAATACAAGTTATCTTTAACACAATGTTTCTAGATTGTGCACATCCTTCCTTAT